TTCAAGCTTATTGTTCCATAGTTATGTTTAACAAATAGATCAATAATATGGTAAACAGAATTATTTAATTGTAAGCATGTATGTGAAGTCAATCGTTTAGTGTTAATCGATGTAATAAATATAATGTTCGGATTAATAGAGCATAACAGATCTTTAATATATCAAATGATGATGGTTGATCAACTCGAGGAAGTTCATCATAATTTAAAGATCTGGATGTTGTTGCACTAATTGATGAAATAGGTCGAGTACTTGTTAATGTATTATTAATATCATCAAGAATTTATTCTTTTAGAGCATCTAAATTTGAAAGATTTCAAAATAAAATGATGATTTTTCGATCTATTGTCATTATAGATAAATCGAAATTTAAACAGGCGAATGATGAAATCATTTGCTTCATCACTAAATCATTACTAAATGTAATTTTTGTATTTAACGAATTTGTGAAAATAGATCGAACTCTATATTTTATTTTATTTTTTAGTTTATAAGAAGAGCGTTCCCGTTTCCCGAAGGAGACGGGAGTGGACCGAACTCGACGGCACTGCAGTGTCGAGACGATCCGTGGCACAGGTCCGAGTGAACCCAGGTGATCCTGGCCGATATCCAAAATTCGCTTGAAAGAACAGGGGAAAAGGTGAAACGCGTAAGAACAGAAGAGATGCCGTGCCTCACTGATCGATAAGAAAAATTGCGTATTATAACTTACCAAGAGGTAAATGATCTTTACTGATCAAATACATGTTGCGATGACGAAATTGTGCGGGCTGATGGTAACATCGACCTGCCAGAGCAACACTTTTCAATTAAATAAAAAGAAAAAAAGACAATGACTCATTTTTGAAATAATTAAGAACAAACCATTCATAAAAGTAATAGAATTACATTTGTTTCCAACTGTTCGACTCAATACATTTGCAATCAAACAACATACTGCTTATCCATGTGGGAAGAGAAAGGTTCCAGAGCATCAAAACTTATAAAGTGTTAATGATAGAAGCAATCTCGATATTCATAAACAGCTGCTAATTTCTTTTTTTTTAAGAGACAAGAATCGGTATTTTTATTGAAAATGATCTCACTCATTTATTAGTTACAATTGAATAATGTTGAGTCAAATAAGATCATACTTTGATAGGTCGAAGTATAATGTATGTGATAGACATAATTGTTTTAAGCTGACTCTTATACAAACAAATGCTTTTTTCTGATAGTAACGATGAAGTATCTATTTCGATAGTTGTCAGAGATGATTCTGATTTAAATCGAGTAATATACGAATTTATTAATGGTGGTTGTTACAAGTTATTTCGCTGAACAAAATACAATATGAATACCGTGAACTTTCGATACTTTCGGTAATAGACACATATAAGTATCAACTGGAAAATTCGTTTAAAATCCCAACTATACATAAAGCTTAGAACGGTATTTACAAAAATCATTGCATAAAACACAATTTATTAGACTCGCAACACTGCGTGTTTACTTTTATCATAACTTATGATCAATAAGTCAAATATTATTTTCATAGAGTAAAATGATTTCATCGTTTCGATTAAGAATGTAACTGGAGAAAAGGATTATATTTAATCCGATGTGAAGCAAAGCATCTAGCTATGTAATCCGTTGCATACACATCCAAGATCAGCATTTTTGTGAAGCGATGATCTCAAGAATGGAATTTCGCCTAATGCTCGTTGAAACGATTTTACTTAAATTAAGATCTCTATATGCTACAAATTTTGTCCGATTTCTCCCGTCGAATTTGGCGTGGACAAAGTAGAATGTGGATCATATTTTTCACTTAGTCGATTTCATGCAGTCAGACTTGGCGTGGGTGTGGGTGTGGGTGTTGACGTTCTGAGCATCCACACCCACACTCGAATTAAATTATTATTCGATTAAATTATTTAACAAATTACATTCATAATAGAACCTCTTATATAGAGATTCGAAAAAAAAAGTATTAACTTCTAGAATTCGATTATCTCGTTGTGTTACGATTTAACATATATTATCTTGATCATTAGGTGAGAAAATTTTTATTTATAATACGTATCATTTGTAAGGTATACTTTTGAGTGAACCGTTTCATTGGAATTTCAAACAATAGATTCTTATTAAATTTTTCGAGAATCAAAAAAATTAAACTCAAACGGGGAGGGGGATTCGAAATCAAGTTATTTTAGACTATTGATTGAATTGATAATACTAAGCAGAGATTCTATGAGAAGAATTTCGTTTATATATATATTTCATATTTTATCAATTCATCATTGATTAATTATCGTAACATTAATTATTATATCTTACATATATTTATCACGGCTACACTGTAAAAAAAATTCGTAGAATAATAAACCCAAAAAGGGTTGATGAAAGTGCAACGTATAGTAAACCCTTTTTACCGTATGGAAAATTCTCCTAAACCCTGTTTTAGGGTTTATTAAAGGGTTTATGAAATTCCTAAACCCCTTCATATACCCTTCCAAAGGGTTTAGGAAATCAATATACCCTGTCATATACCCTTTGGAAGGGTTTAGGAAAGTAAGAAACTCAATCCTGAACCATTTGAAACGGTTCCAGAAAGGGTTCACGTTTCCCCAAAACCCCTTCATACACCGTTCCAAATGGTTCAGGATTGAGTTTCTTACTTTCCTAAACCCTTATAACGGTTTATGTTAGTGCAAAGCACAATAAACCCTTTTCACGGTTTATTATTTTCCTAAACCATCCCAAAAGGCACATGAAAGGGCATATTGATTTCATAATCCCTTTCAAATGCATTTCAGAAGGGTTAGGAAATACTTACCATTGTATATATTGATCGAGACGCTCTAAATAAAAAAAAGAATAATTTTATATTAAAAGTTATGCTTACCGTTATTGAACCAATCGCTCGCCGATATCTAAATAAAAGAAAAAATTGCTTAATATAAATGTTATACTTACTGTTGTTGAGCCAAAAGTTCGACCATATCTAAATTTTAAAAAATTTACCTGACTTTTCGATTTCACTTGACTTGGCTTCAGTTCGTAGAAAATCTTTTCATGGAGTTAAATCAAGTCAAGTCAAGTGATATGAAAAATTTATTCGATCAACTTAAACAAGTCAAATCAGATCGGAAAAAATTCGATATAACTTAACTTGACTTGACTTGGTAGAAAATTTTTTCATGAAGTTAAATCAAGTGAAGTTAAGTGATATGGAAATTTTTTTCGATCTGACTTGACTTGTTTAAGTTGATCGAATAAATTTTTCATATCACTTAACTTCATTTAACTTGGTAAAAAATTTTTCTACGAAGTCAAGTCAAATCAAGTCAAGTGAGATAGAAAAACGTTTCGGTATCACTTGGGTTGTCTTCACTTGGTAGAAAAGTTTTTCATCAAGTTAAATCAAGTCAAGTTAAGTGATTTGGAAAAACTTTTCGATCTAAATTGACTCGATTCAGTTTAATTGAAAAATTTTCTACCAGTCAAGCCAAGCCTCGTGATATCAAAAAGCTTTTCTATATCACTTGACTTGACGTGACTTCACGTCAGTGTGGAAAAACTCATTCCCAACCACTCGAATAACTGGGTTAACGATAAATTAGGCTCTGACGAGATTATATCGTAATGGCAAACTGGATAGAGATGGAGTAGCTTACAGCCACTCACGGCAATGATGTTTATTCGCTTATTCACATATCCAGAGTGTAACAAGCTCATACATAACGCACGTATATATAGGAGAGAGATAGAAGAGAGACAGGAGAGAGATATATTATAATAATAGAAAGAGAATAGAAGGAAGAGGAAAGAGAATCATCGAAGCGTGCCATCGATATCGGCACAACAAGCAACGTGGGAATAAGGCTCATTTGATAAATGACTCTTTAACGAACAGAAAATAGATTAGTATTCATTCTGCACTGTTAATTTTTTGACTAGGATTTACTTTACTGTAGACATGTAAAAAATAACTCGTTCAATATGAATTTCAAAAAAACAGTACACTACACACTTCATCATACTGACATATTCTAAATAAAAAATTTTTCATATGTTTTCTCTAGTAAGATTTCCTACTGATAGATTCAATCAGTTTTAAATGTTAAAAAAGTTTTATTATCTTATTTTTGAACAAAATATGATCTCAATACACTGAAAAAAAAACTTCTATTTGATCAGTATCTAACTGACCGAAATATGTGAGTTCCACATTTTAGCCCCAACGAGACTGCGCTGAAAAGCTTTTCAAATATAAATTATCGTTGCTATATTTATTTTCAAATATCAATTTTTGATGATTTCATTCACACGTAAATTAAATCAACACTTAATATGAATAGATACCCATAAGTATTTCACTTCTTCTGGTAAACTTACTGGATACGATGCTTCTATATAATAAAATAAATCTTGAAATAAGATAAGAAATGTTTGAATGATATGGAACAGAAACTACAATGTAGTTTCATTCGATTATACACTGAAATTTTTCTCTTGCCGAATTGCAAAAATTTCATTTGCATGAGCACAAATGATCATTCTGACATCCACGCCTAAATGTTCATGTATAGCCACATCTCATACTATTCATAGAATTCTACGTCTCTAAAGATCAAAGTGTTCAAATCTGATAATTTCTATTTCAATCGATTGATGTCACCAAAAAATAGTTTATTCTAGCTTATATTAACTAGACGGCCAATAAAAGTCTTTCAACAGTATTGGCAGAAACAGAGTAACGTACTTTCGTTTCCTCTCTATTAGAAAAGCTGAAGCTCGATTCACCTGGCCATTTATTGTGGCAGGATTCTAAAATTTATTTCAAAAGAAAAACTTTTCGTTCAATCGATTTTGATAATATACTGAAGGCAATAATTTGTACGTTTTTAGTTTTTTCATGCTGTCCAACATCTAGAATATTGTCTTATAAAGAGTTTGTTTTGGTGATTAAATGATCAAAATGTTGATTGTGATGTAGAAAATTAAATCCGCATCGATTATCCAGCCGACTCTGTCCTTCCTTTACCTTTGAAAAAATAAAACAAAGTGGAGTAGAAAATTATCTCGTTTATGCTAGTTTACACGTATTTACCACATGCACAACAGCCTTCTTGCGCTAGAGGTACATTGACATGAGAAGCGGAGACAATGCTTGTTCCATTACAGAAACCATAATCAATGTAGGTTTGACACGTATGACCAGTAATTGGTTCAAAATAGTTAATTGCATTGGCACATGCTTAGAAAAGAAAAGAGAAAATCCACGATTTTTTCAATAGTTATGTAAAAAGTCAGGTAGTAAAGTAGGGAACCGAGAGTATAATATTACAGAAATGTATATCTGAAGCAGTTTTTTTCCATCATCTATAATCTACTGTGGTACCACATGTTGAACTACGATTATAACGACCGAAAAGTGTTTGTCTCATGGATATTCTAATACTATTGCTCTCTGAAGATGCTTGTGGAATACATTTATCAAGATTCTAGCGTATTTGCATGAACGAATAGTTATTTCATAAGAACTCGAAAAAACGAATAAAGAAAAACTATCTTGTATCTGTTAAAGATAGTTTTCATCGCTGCCAATCAGGCTTGATAACAGACTGAAAGTTAACAGATTATTTGTAAATAACTATGTAACTAGTACTGTGCGGGCGCCTTTTCATTTCCGTTATTCAATCGCATTAGAAAACTGCTTTTTAGTACAAGTATGACTTTCGAAGCTTCAAAATCATTCTCAAGATTTCAAATCACAGAAACTCTATGCCATTTCAATTTGTTCCTGCCTATTTACCCGTTGTTGTTGGTGTTGTTGCTGTGGTTGTTACCGTTGTTGTTTTTGTTGTCGTTGTTGTCGTTGTTGGCGTGGTTGTTGTTGT